TGACGTCCCATCTAGAAAAGCACATCGGAACCGAGAGAATAGCTCATTCGTTGTGATTTGTTTGTCAGTTTGGCTGCAGTTATTTTCTCGAAAACTTCAGAAATTTTTGCAGTTTATAAGATGGGATGGTAGTTGTGTGGATTCGATTCACAATCTTTTCTACGTATACGTGTGATGATCGCTGAATTTCACCTCAGCGATTGAGTTAGGCGATACGATAAGATTTAAACTATCCAAAATTTCAGACAAAATGCCCAACGTGTTGATGTTCTTAAAAGAGAATGAGAAAGTATAATGTGAGCTGTTGCCAACTGACTGCTTTTTATCATTGAATTTTGCTGTCATCGTTTGGTTATTTTCTCATCGTTGCAGCTTATTTTATGACTTATTGATATAATGATATAATGACTGGTGCTTATTGATATAATGATTATCTGTTGTTGAATGGTTCAATAAAAATTTTCAACTGTTTAATAACGTAATGAGGTTTTTCCCCACATAAATAAGTGGTGCAATTGCAAAGTTTGAGAGAAGATTCCAAAGTAGCGAAATTGACAGCGAACAGCGGACTAATTTGCTTAATCAGCGGTTCAGCGGTAGCGTTTCGCTTAAACGTCAATGAAGGAAAATAACACAAGCTATCGCTACTTTATGACGCTAAAAATTATTGTAACGGATGTTATCGCTACAAATTTTCACTATGTGAAAAAATCACGAGCTATTACGCAACCGAAAAATGCAGCTCCGCTTGTAGCGCGAATGGCGCGCTATTGCCCAACACTGATATCCTTATCAATAGGTGAGTCGTACTCAACACTCCATACATAAGTTCAACTGAGTTATTCCAGCAGAAAGGAATCCTGAAATTTTGGTTACGTTCCATTCTCAGACTTCGAACAAAAAACAGTACATTGCAAATTGAACCTGTAATATTTCTCCCTGCTTCACTGACAATTCAGCGTCATTGCCAGCAGCAAAATCGAGAATCGCTTGCGCTTTTCGATTCATTTCGAGTGGTATGTTAGGCTCACGCGGAGCATCTTCATCGCTACCATTGCCTTCGTAAACTTCTTCTCCTTCTCTGAAATGTCTTAATTTCGGAATCTACTGTATTGTTCAATGTTCCTGGCTATTCTTCTTAAACAATTTTTGTGAAAAATGAAGAACGTGATGAGCGGTACAGTGTAGCTCAACTTCAACTGTGCATTATTCTACTGGCTGCAAAACTCAACAAAACCGTTCGGTGGAGACTGAACGCTTTCCGCGATAACTCAGAGATAGATAACCCGACCAGAAATTGGCATGTCGCGTTTTCCAATCCAGCTCACCAGGGAAAGTTTTTCTCGAAACCGAATGGAGTATCAATATCACTGATTTGACTGTGACCGAGTTTATGCCAGACTGTGATTTTGCTAGCACCAACTTAATTATTCTTATTTACTTTTCTACTTATCCCATTGCTTACTCATTCATTTGCTATTTATTCATGTGAAAGTGATGCTGTTGATAATACTTAGTAGTGTTACACATAAACAGAATAGCAATAGCAATAATAGTCAAAAGATAACGGTTTGATAATTAATAGTCACAGCTATCTTTACATTTTACATTCTTTTACTTTACATTCTAAAAACTGAGCTCCACAGCGGTTTCAAAATTTTTCAGATACAGTAGCGTTGCGAAATGAATGCTCCATAATTGATTTTTATTTTATGAATAATCATTTTGGAAACAGTTTACTGCAACCGTTTATATCTTTGTGTACATCATATTTTGACATAGTGATTCCACTTTGATGTCCATTTTTGGTGTTTGCTTGTTGCAATGATTCGCAAAATACTATCAGTCTCATCGTTGTTTTTTTTNGAATAACAGCAACAATGATATGAACGATAATCTGAGTACTTAATGACAATTATTTTGGTAAGAGCATTGCAATATGGTTACTAGTCATGTCGATGACACATACAATCACTTACTGTGCCGCCTCAGTTACATAATCATCGAGTCTGTCCAGCTCTGCATATACATCTTGTTTGAAATTCTCAAATGCCTCACCACTTGTGATTTTCGATGGTTGAGCTGATTCGTGTGCGTGTCTGCAATGAATAGATACCACTAGTTGGAATAACACTAATAAAAATAACAAATTTACTGTATGGCGGCATCATTATTGACAACGGAAATAATTGTAATAGTAATAATAACAGAATAAGAATAACTTCGGTAATCGTGCAGCTTCTTCTAATGAAATCGAACCTTCATTCATCGCTCTACATATTGGACATGATTCACATGATCTAAATTGATAACAATCAATTACTCATTACTCAACTAGTGATCATTAGTTTAGATTTATAGGCTGATATGAGAATGATTACTGTTTTTAGCAGATTTAAGCAAGGTGAGTGTTTCGTGGATTTGTCTTTTCGTGGATTAATTGTTGAAGTCTCCAGTGCACAGCACTTGCTAAAACTTGTAAGAATTCTCGAGATATCAATAACAATTTCCTGATTTTATTAAAGCAAACTGCAAACTGTGGACAATCAGTGATATCAACGATGAAACAACTGGAGCATTTCCCACTTCAGTTCATTGTCAGNGATAAAAATTTTAGTTCGATGAACAAGTTAATAGGTTACTTAAATGAGTTGAGTGTATCAAATGCACGATGATTTGCGACATGGCGTCGAAATGCCAAATTATCACCAGCTCTTACCTCTGCAAAATAGTTCTTAATGAATACTCAATAATACTGATTACTGCTCAATTCAGAGCAAATATGAGGGCTGTTGAATAAGTTCCTGGACAAACTGACGAATAAAATCTTCGTATTTCAAAATAATACAAATGTTTTTCCACATACTCTCTATTCATGTCTACAAATTTCTTTAAATGGCGTTTCTAACGAGGATTTCCTTCTGGATAAAATTCGCGGAGATGCTGATTACATCACGTAACAACTATCATCTTCGCTTTATCTAAGAAAGTTACCTTCAAATGATTCTTCAATTTTGGCAATGAAAAACGAGTCACATCAGGTCTGTAAGGAATGTATGCAATAATTTTCCATCAAAATTCCCTCATAATGATCCCAACAGCTATATTGCAATATTCCTCTTCATTCCTTAGGTGGTGCTGTCTTCGACACTCTTTACATTCCTTCACAATAACCAGCGCTTTTTGTTCGCTGACCGTCGATAAAATTGATAAGAATTATCACTTCTAAATCCCAGAAAATAGCTGCCATAACCTTATAGACCGGTTCAGCCGTTCCCATCGGTAACCATAAGTTTGATCAGAATCGATCGAAAATGCCAACTTAGTTTACCTTTATTCTTGAAAAAGTGGCTGGCAAATGATTGCACCTCTCTGTAGAGTGGTAGGGGGATTTCAGGAATCGGAGAATT